AAAAGAAAGTAGCTACAGCAGATGAAGCGTTAGTGACAAGAGGTCGTCAACAAAGCCAATCAAATAGGAGAAAAGGAAGGTCCAAATCGAAAAGCAGAGTTGCCAAAAATAAGTGTGCTTTCTGTCGTGAGAAAGAGTACTGGAAGAAAGACTGTCTAAAGTTAAAAAAGAAAGGGAAAGTTCCGCAAGACGTAAATGTTACAGAATGCAAAAGTGATACGGAATCAGATTTCTCTTTGACTGTATCACATTTAACATCCCATCCAAATAAATGAATTTTGGATTCAGTTTGTACACATCATATGTCTACCATGCGAGAGTGGCTCTTTAAATTTAAAGAATTTGATGGTAGAGTTTGTGTACATGAGAATGACAATCCATGTAAAATAGGTGGGATAGGTTCAATCAAGCTGCGTAATCATGATTGATCCACTAGAATCTTGAAAGATATTTGGTACGTGCCGAATTTGAAGAGAAATCTCATCTCCTTGGGAATCTTGGAATCAAAAGGCCTGGAAGTGAAGATGCAAGATGAAATTTTTAAAGTAATTTCGGGAGCACTTGCGATGTTGAAAGGTGTGAGGAAGAATAATCTGTATTGCTACCAAGGTAGTACAGTTGTTGGGATAGCAGCAGCAGCAACATCTTCCAGTAGCAAAAAGGATGCGGAAGCAACAAAATTGTGACACATGCGATTGGGACATACTGGTGAAAAATTCTTGTAAAATCTTGCCAAATAAGGATTGTTGAAAGGCACGAAAACTTGCAAATTAGAATTTTGTAAGCATTGCGTTCTGGGAAAACAAAGAAGAGTGAAATTTGGTACTGGCATCCATAATACCAAAGGTATTTTGGATTATGTACATTCAGATATGTGGGGACCTGTTAAGACTCCATCCTTTGGAGACAGGTACTATTTTGTCACTTTTGTTGATGATTTTTTCAAAAGAATTTGGGTGTTTGCTATGAAGAACAATGATGATGTGCTAGGGTTTTTCTTAAATGGAAAGCTCAAGTTGAAAATCAGACGGAAAAAAAGATCAAAGTTCTCCGAATAGATAACGATGGAGAATACAAGAGTGATTCCTTCCAGAAGATATTCCAAGAGTGTGGCATAATTCAGCACTTCACAATTAGAAGAACACCGCAACAGAATGGGGTGTCAGAGCGTATGAACAAGACACTAGTAAAGAAAGTACGTTGCATGTTGTGTAATACTGGGTTAGGTAGAAAATTTTGGGTTGAGACTGTGACATATACTCAATATCTTATCAATCACTTGCTATTATCTGCAATTGGTGGCAAGATTTCATTAGAGGTATAGTCTAAAAAACCTGCAACATATTATAATTTTTTGTGTATTTTTTATTCTACTGCATATTATCATGTAAATGAATCAAAATTGGATTCACGTGCAAAAAAGGCTCTTTTTATGGGCTTTAATGCTGGAGTTAAGAAATATCGTTTGTGGTGTCTAGAAGTAAAAAAAACCATTATCAACAGGAATATTACCTTTGATAAATCTGTCATATTAAATAAGGTAACACAAGATGGAACCAGTAGTACTCCGCAACAGGTGGAGTGTACGCCGAAATAGATGGAGTTTGAGCAAATAGTAGTGAGCCCAATAAACAGTACCATCAGTGACTCTCCCATGGCAGAAGAGAAGTCAGATGAGGAAGAAGTTTCTATCCAAGAACCTCAACAGCAGCAAGAGTCAATTGCCGTCAATAGACTAAGACGAGAAATTCAAAAACCTGCACGTTTTGCTAACATGGTGGCTTATGCATTCCAGTTGTTGATGATGTTCCATCCACTTTTTTTGAAGCAGTTCGAAGTACAGAAAATGATAGATGGAAGGATGCTATGGAAGAAAAGATGCAATCTCTTCAGAAAAATAAGACGTGAAAGTTGACACAACTCCCGAAGGGCAAGAAGGTAATTGAATGCAAATGGATATTTATAAGAAAGAAAGATTTCTTGACAAGATTGATGTTCGCTACAAGGCAAGATTGGTGGCTAAAGGCTACGTTTAGAAGGAGGGAATTGATTATAATGAGGTATTTTCTCCAGTTGTTAAACATTTCTTTATTAGAATTTTGTTGGCCTTGGTAACATAGTTGAATTTGGAGCTAACTCAACTTGATGTGAAGACTGCGTTTCTTCACGGTAACTTGAAGGAGGAAATCTACATGTCTCAACCAGATGGATTTAAAGTTGTCGGTAAAGAGAATTGGATTTATAAACTGAGCAAATCGTTGTATGGATTGAAGCAATCACCGAGGCAATGGTACAAATAATTTGATCAGTTTATGATGGATCAGAAGTACACAAAAAATAAATACAATCAATGTGTGTATTTGCGTAAGTTACGAGATGATTCCTATATCTATTTACTCTTGTATATTGATGATATGCTAATAGCATCAAAGAGCTAAATTGAAATTGACAAATTGAAGGCTCAGTTGAGTAAAGAGTTCGAGAAGAATGATTTGGGAGAAGTCAAGAAGATTTTCGGCATGGAGATAAGCAGGGATAGAACGAGAGGCAAGTTTTGTCTGACACAAAAGCAGTATTTGAACAAAGTACTACAACGTTTTAGTATGAATAGAGATTCAAAACCTGTAAGTACTTCGCTTGCTCCTCATTTGAAACTTAGCAGCCTATTATCTTCAAAAAACGGTTGAAGAGCGAGCATACATAGCGAAAGTCCCGTATACTAATGCAGTTGGTAACTTGATGTATGCAATGGTGTGTATGAGACTCGACATTTCACAGGAAGTTAATGTGGTAAGTAGGTTTATGCATGATCCGGGCAAGGGTTATTGGCAAGTGTGAAATGGATTCTACGGTATATTCAAGATACTGTAGATATTGGATTAGTATTCGAGCGAGATGAATCACTTGGTCAATGTGTAGTTCGATATTGTGACTCTAACTATGCAGGTAATTTGGATAAACGACATTCTACAACTAACTATTTGTTCACATTTGCCAAGGCGCCAATTAGTTGAAAGTCTACTTTGCATTCAACGGTGGCTTTGTCTACAACAGAGACAAAGTATATGATAATTACAGAAGTTGTGAAGGAGGCAATTTGGCTTCAAAGATTGTTTGAAAACTTGAGAGTTGGTCAAAAACACATTGACGTGTATTGTGACAGTCAGAGTGCTATTTACTTAGCAAAGAACCAGGTCTTGCACGCAAGAACGAAACACATTGATGTTCGCTATCATTTTGTGCGGAAAATTCTCAAAGAAGAAGAGATTTTTCTCCAAAAAATTCGGATTACAGAGAATCGTGCAGATATGCTGACCAAAGTAGTTACAAGGTCCAAGTTTGAACATTGTTTAAACATAATCAACATCCTGCACATTTGAGTTGGCACCTGAAAGCGTAAATTTGGAGGTACCGCAAAGACCATTTGTTATTTTTGAGTGAGAAGTTTGTATTTTTTGAGGTGGGATTAGAAATTATATCAAGGTGAAAATTTGTTGAAATTCAAAACCAATAATTGTTGACTTTGAATTTTTGACATAATTTCCAAATCCCACATCAGTGGGATTAGTTGTAGGTGCAAGGCTTGAGAGTTATAAATTAACTCTCAAACCTTCCCAATAGGTACACCAACAAAGAATTTGAAAAAGAATTCTTTTGTAATTTTTTCTTCTCCTAAATTATAAAAGCAGGCTGCTTAGGCGGTGTTCGGAGATTAGGTAAAATTGATCGAATTCCGTTATCAATTTTTCGGGTACGTTTTTTCCTTATCTCTTTTATTTATTCCGCATTTATTTGATAATTTCTTTTCAATTGTAGTGCAGTATTCAATATATTTGTCGAGTTTATTTATAGTGTTTTATATGATTCATTTAGGTGTATTTTTATTCATGTGTACGTATTGTTTATGTATACACGGGTTAAGTTGTGATAATACACCGTGCACGAAAATTCTGTCATAGGAGACTGGGTTTTAAATGGAATTACTTGTGACCCCTCCAGCCTTTCTTGGGAATTTATTTGGAATGATAATTCTGTTTAAGGAGATTGTTTTAACGATCTTTCTTGAAAATTACTGAATCGATTTAAATCACTAGTTGAATTTTTTGAATGAGAAATGACCCGATTTCCCCAACAGGAATAGCCTCAGGAAAAATGTACTCAAATCCGTTAGTCGATCTGAAGTTTTTTCGAACTTGTACATTCAAAGAAGATCAGGGACAGCAAAATCCAAAGTAATTCATTCAAATAGACAAAATTAAGCTCGAATAACTCACTTGATCAAAGATCAGCACTTCAAGTTTGGAGGCATTTTAGAGCAAGCAAGGCATCACTTTCCAGAAAGAGACATGGTAAACATGTTCATCGTGAAAAGCTTCCAGCAACAGAGTGGTCAAATTATTGAAAGTTGGCAACAAATCATGAGCACGACAGAAATCTTTCATGCAAATCAGAGAAAGAAATAAATACATTATGAAATTCTATAACAAAGCCACAAAAATGAGAAAAACAATAGTGAAATCAAATGTACACATACCAGCAAACTAGGATGATGTAAATCAAGTAACTGCACACTTTGCAACCTGTTAACAAGAGCATGCAAATCATTCAATGATAACAAGTCGCTTGCCAATCCATCAAAGTGAAGCTTGATTTTGGCCTCTACATAAGACTTCAAATTTTGAACAAAGTTTATGCTATCATAGCTATTGTAGATAAAATACTTGAGATTTGGGGTATTAAGACTAAACTTTTGCCTTTGATAGGCAGAATATTCCAGATAATCAAGACTCTGACTTGATAACCAAAGAACACAAGTCCAAGAAACCACTGAGTATCAGTTTTCTCAGTGAAGGACTAGATAAATCAACTGCTCTATGTTCAATCAAATTGGAAGATCGTAAAGTTAATTTCAGTTCCTCGAGCAAAGGACATGCCTTCATAAGCCTGGAAATGGACTCGGCATCTACTGGCGCCAATTCAAGCAAGTGTAGAACCTTAAGTTATGGTAAATAAACTGAATCTGGCAGAACCAAATCGACCTCACCATTGGCTACTTTCAAAGTAACTAACGTTCTGCAAGAGAATATTGCAGCACAAGATTGAATTCCAATTTCATCGCTACCAATAAATATATCAAGTTCTTGGAGTTTACACGAAAGTGCAGCAAATATCAACGAGTCGATTGCCACACTAATATTCGGGATAACAGGCTTCAAAACGAGTTTAAATTCCCCTTTTCGTAGCATAATTACTCGATTGGCGAAATTGATAAATTTTATGGACTTACAGAGTAACATGCCACTCTTATTTCTGGCATGATAGCACAATGTAGGATGCTTATCCATGAAATTACACTTATGTGCTTCAGAGAAAGTAAGATCAACATCAGGAAGCTGAACAAAAAGGTATCTCCACCTGGTGGACAGTACTGATGTTCGTGCAGCATCTCTAATACGGAAAAATGACAGAATATAAAAAAGAATGTCATCAGGAAGGGCACTCAACCAATCATCTAGGGTTTTAAAAGCTCTCTTGGGCTCTAAAGGATGATGACAATGATAATCAGTCATTGTTAATCAGCTTGATTATTATTCTCCTAACCCAAGAAGATGGTTAATGTTTTTGATCACTGAGTAATTTGGAAAGGCTTCCAGGGATTACAATAAGCAAGCCTGAACCCAAAAATATAATTTTTTTAATTTATTATCACAAAACATAAAAGATAACAACTGACGATGAAGGCAAGAGAGAGCAGAAGCAAAAGAGAGCCCGCAGCAGAAAAGCTTTTCCAAAAAACTAGCAAAACGAAATCAATGTGTTGAGGGAATATTCCAAAAGTTTCTTGTTCTTTTTTTTTTTTTCAGAAAACTAGCAACCCAAACGAGCAAGTTATTCGGAGCACTCACCCTTACATTTGCACTAGCGAGAATAACATGCACTATTCTACATTGGGATGTCTAACTTCACATAGTGCACCAACCACTAGAATGATGTACTTTCACTCATTGAATCCAAGACTAGACATTGTATCTAGTTTTGAATTGAGGTTCCACCATTAGTGATCAAGGATTTTGGACTTTAAACCCATCCCCCTTGATGTCCTTAACATCAAATTCCTTGATAACCCTTTTATCAAAGGATCACTCAAATTTTCATTAGATCTCATACAGTCATTTGATATGACTCCATTTGTGATCAAATCTTTGACATAATTATGTCTTAAACCGATATGTCTTAACTTACCATTATCTACTTGACTATATGCCTTAGCAAGTGTAGCTGTACTATCACAATGTATTGAGATAGGTGATAAAGGTATTGGCCACAATGGTATATCACAAAGTAAATTACGTAGTCATTTAGCTTCTTTACAAGCTGAAGCAAGTGCTATAAACTTTGCTGCCATTGTTGAATCGGTGATACAAATCTGTTTCTTAGAACCCTAAGAAACTGTACCTCCATCAAACATAAAGATCCAACCACTTGTCGATGAGTGATCATCTTTATTAGTGATCCAACTAGCATTTGAAAATCTTTCTAAAATTGAAGGATAACCTGTATAACATATACCATAGTTCGTAATGGCCTTTAAATACTTTAAAATTTTAGTTACACCTTGCCAATGTAACCTAGTAGGGTTGCTTGTATATCTGCTCAATATACCAACTACATATACAATATCAGATCTAATACAAGTCATTGCATACATTAAGCACCCTATAATCTTGGCATATTCCAATTGAGATTTTGGATCCTCTTCATTTTTCACAAAGTTTATCTTGGGATCCAAAGGTGTTGAGGTTGGAATACAATCACTTTGATTGAATTTGTTAAGAATCTTTTCAATATAATACGATTGAGATAACTTTATATTGTTATCATTTTTTAAGATGCTTATACCAATAATGACATCTGCCTTATCCATGTCTTTCATGTCAAATTTGCTTGAAAGCAAAGTTTTGGTGACTTTAACTTGCTCCAAGTCAGTCCCAAAAATTAATATGTCATTAACATATAAACAAATTATAACACCTTTTTCATCATTAAACTTGCTATAAATGCATTTATCATATTCATTTATCTTGAATTCACTAGCAATAATAACTTGATCAAATTTCTGATGGTATTGATTCGATGCTTGTTTTAGTCCATATAAAAAGTTTATAAGCTTACACAACATATGCTCTTGACTAGGTACTACAACCCTTTGAGTTGTTTCATATATATTTCTTCATCCAAATCACCATTCAAGAATGCTATTTTAATATCCATTTGGTGAATAACTAGATTTTGGATAGAAGTTATAATTAGTACTCCAATTGTAGCAATTTTTGCTACTGGAGAATATGTGTCAAAATAGTCCACACCATGCTTTTGTGTAAATCTTTTGGCAATCAATCTGACCTTGAACTTATCAATAGTTCCATCAATTTTCATTTTTTTCTTGAAGATCCACTTACAACCAATTGATTTTGAACCAGGTGGTAAGTCTACTAATTTCTAGGTTTTATTACCCATAATTGAGTCAATCTCATCATTTATAGATTCCTTCCAAAAAGGAGCATCTTGTGATTTCATTGTTTCTTCATAGGTCTTGGAATTAGCCTCAGTATTGAAGCAATATGGAATTTGATTGCTCACTGTATTTCTAGTTCCTTCAACTAGATATATATAGAAGTCCGAACCAAAGTCTTTTGACTTTCTAGCTTTTTTGCTCCTTCTCAATTCAATAGATTCATTTTCACCATCTTTTATCAGTTTATTGCTTTTGGAGTAATATTTTTTATAGAGGTGAACCTAGTTTCTTCAAAAATAGCATCCCTAGATTCAATTATAGTATTAACCAAAATTGAATCATTAGGTTCAATTACCATGAACCTATGTACTTTGCTATTCTATAGGATATACTTTGCTATTCTATGCATATCCTAAAAATATACACTCCATACCTCTTTCTCTCAATTTCCTTTTCTTAAGTTATAGGAGTTTTACAACAGCTCTACAACCCCAAACTCTCAAATAGTTTAGGTTCGACTTCTTTTATAGGACTCCTTTTATAGGTATTAACCAAAATTGAATCATTAGGTTCAATTACCATGAACCTATATACTTTGCTATTCTATAGGATATACTTTGCTATTCTATGCATATCCTAAAAATATACACTCCATACCTCTTTCTCTCAATTTCCTTTTCTTAAGTTATAGGAGCTTTACAACAGCTCTACAACCCCAAACTCTCAAATAGTTATAGGACTCCTTTTATTAGGAATTCTATTTAGGATATAATAAGCCGTTAATAAGGTTTTACTCCAAAATTTTTGACTTAGTCCAAACTTTGACCAAAGTGCATTAATCATTGCCGTCAATACATGATTTTTCTTTTCGGTTACACCATTTTGTTGTGGTGTATAAAGAGTAGTCACCTCATGTTTTATCCCAATAGACTCAAAATAGGTAATATCATGTTGTGGTGTATAAAGAGTAGTCACCTCATGTTTATCCCAATAGACTCAAAATAGGTAATATCATAATATTCTTTACCTCTATCTGTTCTTAGACATTTGATAAAGACTTCACAATGAAGTTCAACTTCAGATTTGTATGTCCTGAATTTTTGCATTATTTCATTTTTTGAGTGTAACAAGTAAACATGACAATATCTAGTATAATCATCAATAAAAGTCAAAAAATATTTTTTACCACCCAAAGTAGCAATGCCACACACATCGCTATGAATAAGATCCAAGATTTTAGATGATCTTTCAACTTTAGGAAATGAATTTCTTGTGATTTTCATTAGCATGCATGTTTTGCATTTTCCTTCAATCTTATCACAATATGGCTGCAAATCAAGTTGTTGACCTTGGTCGATCAATCCTTGGTTTTAATGATTAACAAACCAAAATGTAGATTTGGGCTAATGTTTTATGTGAGCATTTTGTTAGAACAGATTCTTGTGGCACAAAAGAAGAAGCAAAAACAGGGCATTCATGTCGGACGTCCGAAAGGAAGCATCGGACGTCCGGAAGAATCGGACGCACGCCTCGGACGCACATCGATCGCATCGGACGTCCGAGAAATTTCGCAAAGATTTGATAACTCTCTGACGACGTTCGGACGCAGGGTTCGGACGTCCGACAGGTGGTTTGGACGCAGGGTTCGGACGTTCGACAGGTGGATCGGACGTCCGACAGGCCAACGGCTAGTTTTGACAGCATTTAATTTTTGACCGTTGGAGAGCCCTTTGGAGCCATTTCTCACCTTCTATAAACACCCCAAAGCACAAGAAGATACCAGACTTTTGCCAACACAAAATACAAGCTTATAAGTGAGATTTTTGAGTAGAAAGATTCTTTGTTGGTTGTATAAGGGGTTGGGAAAGTTGAGTTGTGAGGTTGCTCAAGTGAAGGTTACTCTCTAGAAGAAGTAAAACCTTGGTGAAGGTGAACCTATCACTTGGAGTGGTAAAACCTTGGTGAAGGTTGCCTCATTTGTATAAAATAGTTCTTAATTGGGTGTGTGATCTTTCAAGTGTAGGTTGTTGAGGGTTAACTAGATTAGTTGTAAAACTCCTTGGCTCAACCAAAGAGTATTTGGGGTGAGGAAGGAGTGAGCATTCACTTGTACATCTTGGTTTGCATCGCCATCAATTGAAGAGGCTATTGGGTTGATATTTGGTTTGCATTTCTTATCTTTTCTCTTCAATTAAGTTATCTTTATTGTGCTTAAATTTGATATATCTTTGTGCATCATTGTGAAATTGTTTGTACTCTTTGGGTTGCACCGGGCATTACAATTGGCATCAGAGCTTGGTCTCCTAGAGATTAAGCTTAACCGCTTAGAGTAAAGATCATGGCAACCATAAAAGTTTCATTTTTAGAAGGGCAATCTATTGATAGACCACCTATGTTTAATGGTTCTCATTTTAGCATGTGGAAACAAAGAATGATGATTTTCTTACAATCCGTTTATATTGAATTATGGTATGTGGTAGAAGATGGTCCTTATGAAACTAGAATAGTTGATTCTACAACTAATTTGAGTAGATTAAAGACTAGACAAGAATTGAATGAAAAAGACAAGAGATATCTTTCTTTGAATGCCAAGACCATGAATATATTGTACAATGCATTAGATGTAAATGAATCTAGTAGGATTAAAGGTTGTAAATCAGCTAAAGATATTTGGGATAAATTGTGTGAATTTCATGAAGGTAACCAAGATTTTAAAGAACAAAAGAAATCTTTGCTTGTTTCTCAATATGAATCTTTCAAAATGCATCCTCTTGAAAATGTTGATAAGATGTGTAGTAGATTTTGTGACATTATTCAAGATCTTAAATTGCTTGGAAAAGAATATTTTTTGGGTGAGAAAAATAGAAAGATTTTGAATGCCTTGCCAAAAGAATGGGAAAACAAAATAAATGCTATAGAAGAGGCAAATGATTTAAATTCTATGTCCATTGAATCTCTTGTGAATTCCCTAACCTCTTATGAATTAAAGCTGAATTTCAAAGTGCAAGAGGAAGAAAATGCAAGAATGTATACGAGAGGCATAGCTTTTAAAGC